TCAGGGCGCACAATTCCAGTATACGCTTCGCTGACGAGAAGCTTGATTGGCTCGGCAGTTATCTCTTCCAGTTCGGAAACTGGAGCCGTTTTCATCTGTTGCTTGGAAACTCGAATCATGATAAATGCGGGGATATCATCTGAAAGAGCGTCCAGCAAGCGGTGCTCCTTGATCAAAGCCATGGCCGTGTCCGCATCTTGTAGTCGAATGTAACAGTGCAATGCTTCGTTATAATGACCTCCGGCCAGATAGAGCTTGGCAAGGCATTTGGTAAGTATCCGCCAGTCCTCTGTTTCAGGTGACACCGTCCTTGGATCCAACTGTTCCTCGACAGCTGCTGTTACACTATTAACATCAAACAGCGTGAAAGGCCAGGAATCCAAGAGTTTGCTGAATCTGTGCCGATCTCGAGAGACATAATGGCTCAGGACTTCCTCATATATGTCCGGCGACAAGGGCGGATGAAAATCTGCCGGAATAACAGAAGAGATTTCGTCAAACTTCTTATTTCTCACAAAGGTCCACGCCCAATGCTCCCATGCGGAAGTGGTCTGTATTGCCTTCGCGCAAACTTCAGCGGCTCGACTCCAGTCGTCTTGCTCGAGTAATTGTTTGATCCATAGCTCACCAATTCGGCGCTTCTCTTGGTCAGCGGCAGAAGCTACAGCTCGACCAGTAGTCGTAATGGATGACCTATCATCGGCGAAAAAGTCACCCAAGCTGCTCTGGGATCTTGTTGAGATACCTGGCATATTATCCGAAATTTCCTGTGTTCCCGCCGCCTCTGGATGCTCCTCCAGGAGCTTCCACGCTTCTTCGTATTTCTCATGTGCATCTAACCACGCTAGACGATCTGAAAGGTCTCTTTTCGCCGCAACCACGCAGTCATAAGGGCTGTGGATGAAGATCTTGGGACCAGCGCTTGCTGCAATGTCCTGTACTTCTTTAGACACAGGTTCTTCATTCGGCATCCGTTTTGAGGCCAGTATACTTGGCGCTCTGATCGAACCTTTGTCGCCGCTACTTGTTGTGCTCCGGATACTTGCACCAGAGCTGAACAACCTCGCGGGGTACATCGTCGCGTCCCAGATGCCATTTCCAAGTGTCTCCAGAGTACCACGTTGAGACACAGGCACTGATGATTTCCACGGCGGTATGACGCACATGTGGTAGTCTGAAGAAGTGAGATCTTCATAGCGACTAACTGTAAGCGTATCGGCGCTGAGCTCTTCTTTCGTATCAATATCAATAATGCGAAGCTCGGGTTCCAGGCCCCGGGGACGGCGGTGTGTGCGAGGACGAAGAACGACGTGCTTCGTCCGCTCTTCCGAAACATTCTCTTCCTCGGCCTCAATATATGCAAGAACAGCTATAAGGTTTGGTGTATATAGTGAAATGCCCGATATAATACAGTCAGTTCGCAAGCTAGAGTTAATTCGTCAGCGATCGTTTCATAATTATGGCAACGCGAACTCACATCGTGGAGACTTGGACAGATCCTATCTTCAGGTCCTTATTATTTTTGTTTGGCCGGTCAGGATACACATTAATGACCCAAACAGTCCCTCCCCAACCCACGACGAGCCTCTCTACATTCTCCTTCGTCGCAACTATACCCGGTGGGGCTGGAGTGTCAAGATGAGGTTCGTCCTGCTGGGACTTCACATTATCCTCCCAGCGCAGAGAATCTTCGTCCACCCATTCAGCTCGAGCTCTCCAGACGCCGGCCATTTCTTCCCATCCAGGGCCGTTCGGACGGTCGATGTGGCTAATTCGTTTCCAAGCAAGCTCAGAGTCTGCTGAGTCCAGATGTAGGTTCGACCGCATAATCTTGATCCCTTCTTCATTGACCCAGACGACGTATTTCCCCGATAATGACCATCTAATCGTGCTGATAGCACCTTCCCCGCTGTGTAATATGGTGTCCCTGCCGGTATTGGTTCCCAACCCAATCGATCCAAGCCAGCTGGACGCCGCAGCTGCGGCGCCTCCCATTGTCGTCGAGTTCGTGCTCACACCCACTCGTCCACCAATCGTAAGAATCAGGTCACCCGCTCGCCCTCCAGACAAGAATGTTCGATCACTCTTGTATTCTGGTGATAGTGCAACAGCTTGGACAGGCCGCCCAAAGTTCCGTAGAATGACATCTTTCGTATCCACCAAAGAGGCAACGCATACATTACCGTCGATAGAGGAAGTCGCAATGTAAATGGAATTGGAGGGTGTTGCGGGTGGAACTGTCTGATGGCTTGATTTATTGTGGCCACGAAGGCTGGCCGTGCTGAACGAGGATCGAGTGGGAACAGCTTGATCTTCCGTGGCCGTTCTGGTGACGTTCTCTGCTTTGATGCTCGGCAAAGGAGGAGGAAACGGAGAGATTGAAATCGAAGTAACACTCGCTGAGTGTGCGTGATAAATCCGAAGCGACTGAAATAGAGGCAAGGAAAGCACATGCTGCAAGATGTCAGTTACTGCGCCCTCACAACAAGTAGTCATGTTAGCTTACAATATTGCCATTGTGTGTTCCGATAATCTAGAGAATATTTCAGCAAAGGAAAGTGAATCACACGCTTTTGAAATCATACCATCTTATCGCCCGCGGTAAGGAATGAGCTGGTTGCGTCGCCATTGCGGTACACCGCGCCCAGATTTTTCGTGAGATACAGGTATTTGAGCTGAGGCTCCTCTTCGTCGTCATCGTCATCTTCTTCTTCCTCTTCAGTGTCTGCCTTTCCACTACTCTTATCATCCTCATCCTCGTCGTCTCCATCCACAGGTTGATCGGGCCGAAAGCTGCGGTCGGTGGTTCTTTGCTGCACGGAAGCGTCATGTGCCGGGCTGTCCTGATGGGCATCCTCTGTAGGCTCAGTCGCGCCAGGCGCGTCCATGGCGAACGCCTATTTCCGTACCTGGAGCAATTGAAAGATCACTACAGGTGGGGGAATCATGTCATGACGAGCAGTTGGTGGACCTGGGGTAACTCGGGGATACCTGATGACTAAGCACCTAGCTCAAATCGCTGTTGAAAGCCGGTTGGATGGGTCGAAACACTTTCTTTGCAACACCATGTTTGCTGCGTCGTTTTAAGGCATTGTTGTACAAGAGTAAGGTTAATGGATTCCTGCTTGGCCGCGCCTTTTGGATTCTTCAGCACCAATACTACAGCATGTTCGCAAGGCCCTACGTCTGTTCGTTATGCAGAAGGCCCACTGTGGCTAGGCTCTTGAAACAGCCGCAGAGCCATAATCTTCACGCATCGTACTCCCTTGGTCTTCCTCGGCGCAAAGATTTCTTCTCGTCCAATGCCTTTCTCAGTCAGAAACAGTCCAGAAATGGTGATTTATCGCAGGAGTTGTTATCGGAGACGCAGAAGCAACGCAGGAGAGGCGCCAGAAACCCGGCTGCTCCCACATCGTTACGGAGAGTGGCAGTGGAGGCACAAAGGTCGAAAGATGGGATCTTATCAAAAGCTCAACTGAAAGAGCAAGGAATTTACCAGACTAAGGTTTCAACAACTGCGCCCTCAAGCAAGCATCGGCCGCTGATATTGAACTAAAAGGCAGTAACAGCCTATGCTGTAGCAGAACAATTCGACATCCGCAAAGTCAGAGATATCCTCCAAGAGAAAGGTTTCGAGCCGGATCCGTTTCAAACAGGCCTGTTTCCTCAAGTCGTTCATATCCAAGTTCCCATAGATTCGATTCGACGCGTGAGTAATCCCACCACGACCGATCTGTCATCCGATGAAGTTGGCGATGTATTCGTTTTCCCTTCCGGCACCGTGGTGGCATGGTCTTTGCCCGAGGGCTTTACATCTTTTCTGGCAACTAGAACCCTTTTCCCGGCGGCGGAAGGCGCCCACATAGAGAATTTGGAGACGGAGGATTTGGAATACATTGAGGACCCCCAACGGGAGAACAGCAGCATTAAAGGAGATACCATTATCCTTGGCACCAAGTCCGGTAACGACGACCCGGAATCGAAGCTCGGCCGGCAGTCTGTAGACACGGTCCTTACTAAGGTGGCATTTTCATCAGGGTTGGCTCGAAGTACGAAACTGGCAGTGCTTGAGACTCTGCTGGCCAATTATTTTGAGTCAACCAGAACAATACCCACACTTCTATCGCAGGGCTCTCGCTTACCCTTCACAAGAGATTTCATCCTCCGCAAGACCGGCCAACTGCTGAGTGTGCGGGCCCAATTGAATCTCTATTCGGAGCTGACAGACTCATTGCCAGATTTATTCTGGGATAGCCGGCATGAGCTAGGTCTAGAGGGCTACTACGAGCAGGTAGGAAGGGCACTAGATGTGGGTATTCGCATCAAGCTCTTGAACGAGAAAATGGATTACGCACAGGAAATAGCAAGCGTGCTTCGAGAGAGGCTGAGCGAGACACACGGCCTCCGGCTCGAATGGATTATCATCCTCCTCATTGCCGTTGAGGTAGGATTTGAAGTTTTGAGGCTTTGGAAAGAACGCGCTCATGAGCTTGAAGCCAAAGCTGAACAAAGCTCTGCACCTTCGTGATCTTGAATCACTCATGTCCTTGCATAGGATAGCTATTTTCAGACTCAACAATGATACCCCCCACTCATCTTGAACAAGTTTCCATCTCCTTTACTCCCGTGATTCTCAAAGTGCCTTTTGGCAATGTCCGATCTGGTAGATAGTTATCCTTCTCCGCAGAAAGACTGAGAAGCACTCCGATAGCCTAATCAGGCACTTATCACCTGAACAGGTCACATGTGACACTAAGCTTAGTCACGTTATGACGAGACATTCACGTGCGTCTAGCATCATTCCTACGCCTTGCATTGAGAGCTATCTTCTTCTGGGCTGTTTCCTATCATATAATTAGTCCCTCAGCTGCTTGTACATGTTACACTTTATCCTGTTGTAAAACAATCCTCGGCTCTACAGCGGGCGTGGAAGCAACCGTCACATCGTCTTCACTCCTAGTTGTTGTACCGACCCCACCGGAGCTTCGATATCAACAACCATGTTGCAGAGTATACCTGGACCGCAGCATATTCTGAAAGCTCTGACAGGCTCTTTGGGGCTCTCGACTGTATTAGAGCCAGATCATGAAGCTTCGCAAAACTCATTTCAATGCTCTAAACCGGAGTTGAGCTGTCACGCCCAGTACCATGGCCAGAACACTTGCTGCTTCAACTATCCCGGAGGGCAGATGCTCCAGACGCAATTTTGGGATGCGGATCCTGCGGTCGGCCCAGTCGACTCCTGGACTATTCATGGACTCTGGTGAGCTCTACACGGTGCTACCGAATAAGACACTGATCACCTGGCTCCCCCTAGGCCGGACTTCTGTGATGGTGGCTTTGATCAATACTGTGACCCAAAGAGGAGATACAGCAACATCTCCCTGATCTTGGTTGACTCAGGCCGAGCTGACCTACTAGAGTATATGAGTGATTTTTGGAAAGATTTCCGAGGGGACGACGAAGATCTCTGGGAGCACGAATGGAACAAGCATGGCACATGTATTAGCACTCTGGAAACCACCTGCTATGCGGATTACTATCCGCAACAGGAAGTTGTAGACTACTTCAACAAAACGGTCGAGATCTTCCAGAAATTGCCTACTTACCAGGTGCGGACCCCATTTGACCATTACTTAGACTTGATCTGACTGACCGCTATTCTTAAGACCCTTGCTAATGCTGGTATCGTCCCCTCGCATACGGAGACATACACGCTCGACGGAATCCAAGATACTCTAGCAGAAGCCCACGGCGCACCCGTTACCGTCCGGTGTCGAAACCGTGCGCTGAACGAAGTCTGGTACCACTTCAATATTGCAGGTTCTCTGCAGACGGGAAACTTCGTCGCCTCTGAACCAGGTCTGTGAAGCCTTGACCTCTCACTTCCCAACGCCACGTCAATCATGCTAAAGAATAATGAAATGACCGCAGACGGCCTCAAGTCCAACTGCCCTGCCACAGGCATCCACTACATACCCAAGAAACCCCGCGAACCCTCCCGAACAACAGGCACTCCCTCTCAACCAACAAGCACCGGGATTCCGTTCCAGGGACGCGGCAACCTGATAGTGTCATCGATGGGTGGACGAAGAGGCTGTATCATCAGCCGCGGGAAGTGGTTCGCCTCTGGCACATGCGCAACCTTCAAAGCGAAGAAGGTTACAGGTACGTTGCTCCAGAAAGGGAGGGTGGAAAACTACATCACAGCAATTGTGCTTGTAATTGCGAGAACGGCCTGCTAACAAGGTATCAGATGACACGTTCACCCTGCAATCTAGCAAGGGAATCTGCGCATTCGAGGGAGATGCTTTTAGCTGTGGCCCTCACGTCACTGCTCCAGAGGAGTTTTCCGTAAGTTCCATTGTGCCCTCGACTGACCTGCGTCCGCTGACGAAAATTATCACTGGGCACAGGTCCAGGATGGCAAGCTCTCCTATCGCGGAAATACGACCTTTTTCGCAGACAAGGCACCAAAAGGCCGCACGCAGAGCACCATCTTTGCTTCTCAGGATGAACATCCGATCCACCTTGCTATTACATGGAAGGAGCGTCGCTGAGCGAGTCGTATTGTCCTGTTTTGGTATGGTTCTTAAATCAGATAGATAGACCTCCAATTTGATTTTGGATAGAGTTGAGTGTACTCTAGAGATTCTATGCGGTTTCAAGAGAAGAGCGGGTCTAATAGCAGGCCAAAGGCTCGAAGATAATTGATTGTGCGCAGCGAGAATCGTGGAATCTATTGCTCAGATAAAGTACAGGTCATGCGGACGACCAAGGATTAATTGTTAACAAGGGATGCAGCGGGCCAAAAACATTCCCGAAAAGAAGAAAGTGAACGCCGGGATTAGGCTAGAGGACCGCTAAAACATGGACGAAGGATAGGAGTCAAAAGGAGAGGCGACTGCAGAACCCGAAATGTCGTACATGTGCGAGAAGAGAAAGAACCGAGATGAAGAAAAAAAACAAAGAATGTAACCCCGAAAATTTTTGTCACAGATGTCATTCACAAACGAAGAAAGATTGTTGTGGAAGTTGTCATTGAAATTGTACATAAGTCGTGTCGTGGAAATTTGAAGGTCGTTGTCATATGTGTAGTTCCAGTCGTTGAAATCGGAGTCATGAGAAATTAATTTGCGCGTCTTTCATTAGCCAAGGTCGTTGCGTCGTGTCATGTTATGTGTGGTGTTCATTCTGTTCGTGTGGCTCGTGCGTCGTTTGAGGCCAAAGCTAGCAGTCCATGAAGAATTCTTTGGTCATATCATCAACCTGGAATTGGAGTGAAAAGAAGTCCTCGTTCATCGAGGTACCGGCAGAGAATGTCTTGCTCGAGAACAGATCCAGTCCGGGCTCGAAAGTAGACCCATTGACATAGTCGGGGAAAGCGGCCATGTCGGGGTCACTCAGATCGGGAAATTCATGCTTGAAGTTGGCGGAGCTGTCCGTGCTGATGAAGATATCGAGGTCGGAGCCGTGAGACGAATCAGCCAAGGTGGGAGCCGTATGTGGAGAAGACAGCTCGGCGGTGGAGGTAGCAATATCGGTATATGGGTCGGCATTCGAAATGAAAGGCAGGCTCGGTTCTTCAACAATCTTCTCGAGGGGGCGCTTGGAGGGCGACAAAGGCAGCATTTCATCCTCGCTACTGGGTGTGAGTGAGCGGCGACTCTGAGCGGGCGATGGCTGGTTTCCAAGACTCTGTCGCGGAGACGCAGGAGGCGTGAAAGTAAACGCCGATGGAGGCAAGGAAAAGTTGGGTTGGATGAACACGGGCATATCCTCTTTGGGGCTCGATCCACCGTGAAGACTCATATTCTCAAGGATTTCGGAAGGCGGCGAGTTGGGGGTATCAACACACCCGGACGAGGAGTCAAGGGATGACTTCCCGGCGACTCTCTGGCGTGTCTTGGCTGCCTTGTCCTGTCTCTCCTCCAACTCTGGTCGATGTTTCTTTGGACGACCACGTTTTGTTGTCTTGCGCACAATACCCTTGTAACCGCCGATGCACATTCCTCGTTGTCTGTGCCGAGTCAGAGCATCGTGCCTAGCGAATACGTTGCCACAAAGACATTCATATGGTTTGTCTCCAGTGTGAATCTTGGCGTGACGCTTCAGGTCATGTCCACGAACGAAGCACTTGTTGCAATGATCACATTTATATTGGCGATCACCAAGGTGGGTTTGGACGTGTGACTTAATATTCTCTTTTCTTCCGAACCGCCGTTCGCAGCCGGGGTGAAGGCAAACCCACTTTCCATCCTCCGGGTCGGGGCCAGAGATGTAGGAGGCTATCTCATCGATGGTGATCCCAGTCTCTTTGATAGAAGCATGAACCCTAGCATCAAGGTTAAGGCTATCAATTGAAGCCACTCTTGGAGAGAGCCGGGGTTTCGTCAAGGAGGAACTGGAGCTGGTACTCAGCGCCTTCCTGTGGGTTGCCCGACTCGACGCGGCAGGGAAGATGGGCAGTTTATGAGCCTTCTCATGATTGTCTTCTGGGCTTGGCATGGCGGCTAGCTCTGGGGAGGATTGAAAGGACGAGGTTGCTGACGACGAGGCATAGTGACTCTGCGATAAATTCTCTGACTCGGAAATTTCGAAACTGGAACCCTGCTGACTGCTAAACGCATCAAAATTGTCAATTTCAAATGAAGCAGTGTTCGGGGGGGAGGGCATCTCGATTTTGGAGTTGGAAAAGGTAGACCCGGCAACTCCTTGGAGGGATTTGGCTCGTTGCATGTATGCCGACTGGGCTGATGCGGGTGCAGAGCGGCCTGTCTCCTTGGAGGGGGTGGACTGCATGTCCGTACTATACTGAGCAAGTTCCGCTGGTTTCTTGAACGGAGTTGTCGCTGGCGTTATGGGAAAGTAGTCTGGATCGGTCGTTAGTGGCTGGGAGAAAAATGACCAGTATGACTGAACGGATAACTTACGCGTATTTGCCTGCTTGGGGGTATGCGGTCGTTGCGAGGGGGTGATATCTGACTGAACAGACTGTCGTCTCCCATCGGTCGAAAGGTTGTTGACTTGAGACCGAAGCGTCGTAGGGAGCTGGCCTTGCTGGTAGAAATTCCAGGCACCGTTGTCGAGGATTTGGCCATCAAGGCTATTGACGCATGAGACGTGAGCATTTTGCAGCTGCTGCTGTTGCATCAGATTTAGATTGTTATCCATTGGTCGAATCCCCAAGCTCGGATTTCCCATGGTAATGAAGCTCGAATTCATGTAAGCCATGCCCGGATGGTTCGCATTGCTGGTAGAATTGGATAATGCTTGCAAGTCTTCCGAGGTCAAAGACGGGCATTCAGGCATCACGGGCATGGGAGAGGAGTGCTGGGGGAAATGCGCCGATTGCGAGAATCGGGGATGCTGCGCTCCCCCGGCAAGGATTTGGTGCTGCTGAGTTGCTGTTGCGTTAGTAATGGAAACGGCCCCATCGTGCATAGGTCGAGGACGTTGGACGTGCAAAGGTCGTTGGTCGAGACTCTGTCCACGGCGATGCGCATTGATTCGCTGCAATGCCTGTGCTGGAAGGGTAGGAACTTTGGCGGCTTCCAGCGCATTGGGGGTTGAGATCTGCCGACGATGTTGTCGATAACGCTCGTGCAGATTGCTATGTGGATTGGCTAACATGTCGGGCGGAGATCTCTGGAGTGCACTCGTGGCGAATGGGATCGACCGACAGTTGACAGATCTTGCGTCTGGATCTATCAATTTGACCTGTAAGTCTCATGCAGGAACGTTGCGCCAAATGTACGAAAACGTGCTGTACGAACCTCGAGGAGCGCTAGCCGTTTGGCCGGGCCCAGCAGATGGGAAGCAACCACCCTGTAACAGTGTCAGTTGGTGTCCTATTGAACGAAGAGCACAAACCGAGCTAAAGAAGAAGAGAAAGAAAGGAAAACGAAAGAGCCGAAGCCTCGGGCTTCCTGTGCGCTAGCTCTTGTAAAGACTTGCGATCACACCAACTGTCGCAAAGGCTTCAAAGAAAGGCGTAAAAGCTGAAGCTTTGCCGCGCGATTGTCAAATTGACCTCTAGACGTGGAGTCCGAGAAGAAAACAAGCAAGCAGCGAGAATGAAGAGAAACACAGGGTATTTCAATTCAAGATTTGAACCAAGGATGGAGGGGATAAAATGGATCGATAGATAGAGAGATAGCTCGAAGCTGGATCCAGCAGACCATGGCTATCCCGATCTATCTACTATGCAGCCCATGGTTCCGATCAACAATGGCGGTGTTGGCCCAGCAACGCAGGCGGCTCAGGCGTCGGGGAAACCATCAACCCTTGGCATGAAGCCTGACAACCTCATTGTGGACCGATTGGTGGGCGTTTGCGCCTTGGTTCCAGTGCGGAAAATATCCAAGCTAGGGCCATTGTTCAAACCCTGCGTCTATCTTGTGAGAGTTTACTTGCGCCTGTACGGAGTAAGGAGCTCAGAGAACAACCCCTCATAGTCGAGACACCCTCGAAAGATGCAGCTATATAGGGGCAACGGGGTGCCTATGAAGGGCTCGAATGATTGACTTTGATGATGCTCCCTTTCTTCGCAATAGCATTGAAATAATTGATGGCAATTATAGGTTTCATGTCGTCAATTATTTGCTAGCAAGGATGGAGGGCCTTGATGACGATGATACTGAGGCAACTGCTCTGGTGTTCCAAAGATAAACTCTGGCGCCATCTGTCCCGCTCGTTTGATGCCTTGATCTTCAGGCGATCAGGATAAGAAAGTAGACCCATCAGTCACATGATCAAGCCGTGTCTCGGAGCGGCGAAATGAATGATCCAGACATTCGGCGCTAGATTAAATCAGGCAAAATGCGATACACGTGACCACACAATCATTTTAATCGCTCACTCCGCCAGAATCACTTTTACACACGATCGCAACGAAGGTTGAGGAAGACAAGTCTTGTCGAGGTGAGTTCGCAGCCCATACATTGCTCCATGTACCTTCATCCAAATGGAATCACTTAGATTTCATTCAACATCCATTATTCTCGACATTGCCATGTAATCTCTCAGGAAGCGCGAGCAGAATTTGCAACCGAGGATCATGGCTTTCGCACAACTCTTTCAAAAAGGCTCAACGACCACGGTTCTGACGATGTCTCTCTCACAGGCCTTCATTCAAGATGCAGATCTTCGTCAAGACCCTTACGGGTAAGACTATCACCCTCGAGGTGGAGTCTTCGGACACCATTGACAATGTCAAGTCCAAGATCCAGGGTACGCAACCCCTCCGAGCATCGTGACTGGAGAGACTCTGAATCTAACTCGATAACAGACAAGGAGGGAATCCCCCCCGACCAGCAGCGTCTGATCTTCGCTGGCAAGCAGCTCGAGGACGGCCGTACCCTCTCTGACTACAACATCCAGAAGGAGTCGACCCTGCACCTCGTGCTCCGTCTGCGTGGTGGTGCCAAGAAGCGCAAGAAGAAGGTCTACACCACCCCCAAGAAGATCAAGCACAAGCGCAAGAAGACCAAGCTCGCTGTCCTCAAGTACTACAAGGTTGACGGCGATGGCAAGATCGAGCGTCTCCGCCGCGAGTGCCCCTCCCCCGAGGTATGTTAACTTGCTCTTCTGAAAAAGTGAGACTCCAGCTAATGACTTATAGTGCGGTGCTGGTATCTTCATGGCTGCTATGCACAACCGTCAGTACTGCGGCAAGTGCCACCTCACCTACGTCTTTGACGAGTCCAAGTAAATGCTTGGCTTTTCTGAAACGGGTCGTTCCACTGTTCGTCCGTGCCGGTAGTGTGTGGTGATCTACTGGGCAATGTCGGTATTGGTTAGAGTGGTGGAATGCAGGTTGAGGTAGTAGCAGCTCAAGAAAATAAGAATAAAAATCGGAAATCCTGCCATCCATTACGTATGTCCTTTGCAGTCTCGTAGTGCCTGAGACTACTCATGCTACAGTGGTAGTCAATTTGGACGAAACCGTCGAGGTAATAGTTCTACGGAGGTATCAGTTGGTGCTAGGAACTGAAAGCTGGTCATTCTTCATGTCATTAGATCACCTAAGGTGAATCTGTCAAAGATCGGCAAGTACAATCAAGTAAGGCCTGACCTAGAAGCTCCGGTAACGTCACATGGCATCAGAACGTCAGTTTGGCATCACGGGAAACCAGCACGCAGGTTGTCAAATTGAGACTCGTGGTAGTCCAGATTATTCTGGCTCTGTTCGAGTGCATTTACGCCGCCAACGCCTTCCACAAAAGTCCCAATCAGACTGCCATCGGCCTTATTCGCCGCCTTTCCTCCCTTGTCACCACTGGCTTCCCACCACATGCCGCCTCCCAAGCCCTGCTCCTTGATGAAGTCCACTTTCATCTCGGCGGCGGCGACGGTGTCGTACGAGACCATGCTGCGGGCGCCTGCATCGTAGGACCAAGAGGCACCTGCTTGCTGGTCAAAGACCTCCGTTGCTCCGGGTTGGGGGAGAGCTTTGTAGTCCCAAACACCATGCTCCCAGCTCCCAGCTCCATTGCCGGAGTAGGGGGTGCCGGGCCCGTTGGTGCTCAAGAAGTCACGGCCGTACAGCGGCATTCCCAGAACGATCTTGGAAGGCGGGACTCCTCCGACCTGAGTGTAGTAATTGATGGCCTGGATCGTCGAAAACGGAGTGGAAGAGGGGTTGCCATTGGATGGGAAGAGGTTGGCCTGGTGGCCTGCAATGGAGTCCCAGCTTCCGGCGTAATCGTATGCCATGAGATTGTAAAAGTCGAGAAAAGGTGTCATCTCCCGCAGCTTAAGCTTGGAGTAATTGTTTGGTCCTAGATTTGAATGTCAATTAGACCCACGGCTACCGGCTGACCAGTGCCGAAAGAATGATTCTGCGTAGAGGCAAGGACGAAGACTTACCGGCAGGGCAAGCAATCGTGAGAAGAAACCTGCGATTGGGGCCGGCTGCTCTGTCCAAGGCCTAGGGAGGTCAGTCCACTGACCGTGACGACGCACACATGCAGAATCCAACTCACCTCTCTGCACTTCTGAAGCAGCGACACATAAGCTTGAGCCTCAACTTCGTCTAGACAGAAAGTCAACAATCACTGGTCACCCATGGCATCTTTGAAACTCACTCTGGGGATATTCCCAATCGATATCGATACCTGATCAATCAGCAACTGTAGCGACCCAATGCATCATGAAGGGGAAACCTACCGTCGAAGCCATAATCAAGGAGCAGCTTTGCAGCAGACTGGGCAAAAGTGTTGCGTCCAGCATCCGTGCTTGTTCCCTGGGTGAGATTGGCAGACAACGTCCAACCTCCGATGGAAAGCAGGACCTTGAGCTTGCGGTTTTGCTTCTTGAGGAGGAACAACTGTTTGATGCAGCCGTAAACGTTGTTTCCAGGTTCATTCCAGGTATCACCGGGATAGTGTTTGTCGACATCCGCGAATGGGTCTCTCAGAAACCTGTCGCCACGATTAGTCGAGCTGTCACAAAGAAGAGTATGCTTCGATGAATACTCACACCTCCCCCGAATCGGGTCGGACATCGGCAAAAGCGTAGAGAACATGAGTCAATTTGTCCGCGGGAAGGTCGAAAGCATGGTAGTTGCGCTGATAAATTGCCTAGTTGGGTGTCAGCTAGGTCCTGTTGGATTCATCCGAAAAACTGGGGAAAAACTCACCCAATTGACAAAGTATGCAATAGACTTGTAACCGCCCTCCATGTTGACCTCACCAAAATTCTCGGTAGCTGCAACGATGTTAGACTGAGTACGATAACCAGTGTCATTTTCATTGGAGATTGAAAGAGCGAGGGGAGCTGCAAGCCCAATAAAGGCTATGAGCCAAAGGAGACAGTAATTGAAAGGATTGGACGCCATTCTTCCACCAATGGATGGTAGGCTGATTTAAAGGAGCGACAGAAGGTACTGCCAGCAGACTAGATCTCTGTAGAAGCACAAAGGAGTGAAGAGGTACAGATACTATAAAAGAAGAGAAAGAAGGAGGTACTTGAAGGGCATGGTGTTGCCAGATATCTCGCGAGTTAGGTTGCGAGAAAGCAGTGAATGAGGGGCACTTACTCGCGAGGTTGTGAATGAAAACCAGAGGTTTTCAGTTTTTCGTAAATAGATAGGATGAAAAGAGACTATCACCAGCTCTAAATTAATACCCTAGTGCAGAAAGTGAGTAAATAATAGGATTAAAAGGGACGAAGAGGCAAGCAAGAACAGTGATAGATGACACTCTTAAATACTAATCCTACTCACCGTAAAAAGCGTTCTAGACAGGTTTAAGGATAAGAAGCTTGGTTCCCCAGATACAATGCTTGCTGCCTGATTATCTGTATCTCTCCTCTCGAACTAGGATGGAGCATTGACTGAGAAGTTGTCAAGTTTCCCGCCATAGAACTAGATCAGAGATTAAGGCAGAGAAATGGAATAGCCTCACAGATACCCCACTTGGGCTAGCTCTGTCGATCCGTCATGGGACAGGGGAATTGTGCAACACAAAGAGTGTCGGCTGGCTTGGGTGTCGTCCAGTCCTAGTTCGTCTTCACATCTCGAGAGGCTTTTGCTATGCACTTGAAACCAGAGTGAAGTTCTATCATGGGAACATGGGTTGCACTTGGTGAACCACGGGATGATCCCGCGTAGTGTCCGATCAACTTAATCTGGACATTTGAGCACCGACAGAGCGGCTTCGGGATGCATCTAAAGATGAAGGGGGTCGAGGAGGAGGTGGACAGATGAATCAAGACTCGAGATATAGATCACACGAGGAGGTCAACCTGTAGAAGAACAAGAGTGACTGAGGTTCTACATGATGGAAGTGATGAAGATTGTGAAACACTTGAAAAATCAACAGCAGAACCCTTGTATGCCTGCTTTTTTTTTTTTTTTTTTTTTTTTTCCTCATCTTGTTAGAATCGATTCATTGGTTACGAATAAATCAGACAATTTGCGTCTTCCTGACTGGACAGAAAAGAGAAAAAGGGCAATGCAACGTGGCCGAGGATAACGTAAGTATTGCACATTCCACGATCCAATCTAGATTCCAGCAGACGACAGTAGACCTCGTGGGATCAGTCACACAATCTGCAGATTTCTGCATCTCTACATGGATGAGATGAACCATAGCAGTCCCCGTATCCTTGAACTCCGAGGCAATTCGCAAACATCAATCATCAAACCTCAAAAAGTAGAAAGTCAACCAGAGTGGACCACATCTGGACCCTTCCCTTACCAGCTGAACACTGCCCGCAACCCACAGAGTTGGCCTACTGATTGGTGTTGACTGACACAACACTACTGCAGGACCCTTCGCACGGCCACACTGTGGCATCATCGTAGTCAATCTCAAGATAGACTGGAAATAATACCGTGTGAGCATTCTTTGCGACTTAGATAGCTACCGTAGTCTATGCATTTCAAATCAAAATAAGGACAGAAAACTATTCGACTCGGAGGGGAAAAAAGTACAGTGGGCTGCTGGGTTCTTGCCCCACTGTATCTCAGCTGGGATGTGTTCGACCCTTGACTCCACTCGGAGTATCAAGATCACAGATACTCCACAAGGAACAAGCGTCAGAACTCAATCCTGCTTTCTTGTGGCTAGTGCGACGTTGTAGTCTAGTCATCCGGCATCTGGCATCTGGCATCGTGCTTAGGGTACCGAAGACACGTTTAGACACTCTGTACCATCAGAGACCTCCGGGTCTGCTGGGTGGACACAAAAGCACGCAAATCAGTTGCAGTAATAACAGACTAGGAACAATGACGTAGGAAATGTCAAGTTTCAACCATATCTAAACCCGAAATACACAGATAATTGGTTACTCAAGGGATATCATCGGTTATAGTAACATATAGAAGAATGGAAAATAGAAAGAAACGAAAGAATGCCCGCAGGTTGCTTTTGTGTCCCTCCAAAGGATTAGCGACCGGCGCTTTTGGATCAAGAGAAATGTATCATGCCACCTCCCGTATTAATTCTGCGGACCAGAGTGAAGACTAGGAATGCCACCAGCGGTCAAACCACATCTTGAAACAAGGTCACTTCGGATTTTACGATTGTGACCGGATCAGGGCCAGAATCGCGCTCAGAGACGGGTCGTCGTCCAGCCAGTGTCCTGCACGTACATCCGCAGCCCGAAGATCAGCAAGGACATGCGCATCGGTTATTTGTTGAAGTTCCTGACAAGACTCAGGTCAGGCTGTGCTTGCTAGAGTGGGTTTCTTTGCGAAGGAAACCTACCTGTCGGAATGTGTCGTCCACAGCCTTCAGTTGGCTCGCATGTTGCGGTCCTGGTCTCTGACCCCGAAGGATATTTTGCCGATGAATCGCCCAGCGTCTGGCTGCTGCCGCCCGGAGGTAGATCTTATGCGCTTGGAAGCGCCGTGCGCTGGCGTCGAGGATGACCCTAACGGTGTGGCAGTTAAGAATATGTCTCCTCAGCTCTTCGCTCGGCGGTGGAAGATATGTACCTCTGCAGTTCTGCCCGTTCCATCTCCTCACTGCTCGCTTGAGTAGGCACTGCTCTTGCATTGTAGCTTGCCGAGATAAGAGTCCGCGCTGCAGCGATGCTCTCCCTCAGCACAACATAGCCTTCCTCATGGGCATCTTCTGGCGGTGCTTGCACATTCTGCTGGGGAATATGTATAAGAAGCGTCCGGTAGTCGTTGACAATCTCAGCGACCCTCAGGGCTCGAGCTTGATTAACTATGATATGTATTACCCATTAGCATCTTGTAGGTCGCGGACTACCTCGAAGTGTCCATTGCCGGGTGATAACACTGCTTACGTCCATCAGCCATTGCTACTGTGTGAGAAGCACTTTGAGAACACACAAAGCAGAGAGGGAAGGAAGCAACGACAAGACTGCAAGAACAAAAGAACAGAAATGTAACGACAAACAGACAAGAGGACCAACCCGTTCGTGCTCAAGATGGTTTCATATACAAAGTCTCGTCCCCTGGTCAGGGAGGGTTTTCCTTTTAAGGTTGATCCTCCATTGATCAATTGCTCACTATACCAGCTCAGGATCGCATAGCTGGAGACGCAGGAAGGACAGGATCTCTACACAAAGACACGATTCCCTTAGCCGTGGCTGGCTGCACCAATGGCTGCTGGGAAGAGCAAGTTAGAATATCACAGCTCGTCAGCACAGCTGGGCGATGACCACAACAGTGGATCTGGAGCAAGCAAAGGATCCATGTATAGCCATGCATTCGGACATCCACATAGACCTTTCCATTGTCGTATCCCGAAGCCTGGAAGCTGGAACCTAAGCACGAGACTAAGGTTGGCTCCTGCTCGGAAATGACGAATTTAGTATGCAGCAGAGCGTTGGAGCAGGGGGTAAAAAAAAAAGGAAAAAGTAAACAATTGATAGAGAACCACTTCGTAGAATAATGGATATCGAATGGTCAAAGGTCAGTGGCCAATTCGTCCCTTTTTCTCATGTGTCACAACCGAGTCAGCGGAATGCTGATCCACCATAGTGTCTGGCTGCTGGATCTCGGAATAACGGTAGGATATCTACAAAGGGTCATAGGGTATGCGTCTTAAGTAGAGGTGGGGCGTTGGTTAGAGAGCTCGTGTTGTGGTTCGTCCGAAACTGGCACGACGAGTCGTGGAGTCAGTCGCGATTCGAAAGTCAAGAAAAGTGCAGAACACATTCCAGCTGGATGGCACAGGCAAATGTCTCCGCCACATGCCGATTGGGAATGTGCTCATCTGCAACTTTACAAAAGTAAAAAAGCAGCTGTTAACAAGAAGATGGTTGACAATGAGGATACTTTTGTGGCAGACATAGGTAACAACGAGCGTCAAGCCACACCACACAGCTCAGCCACACGTCGGCCGTACCGCCCAAAAAAAAAAAAAAAAGAAGCAACTGCAGCTGAAAGTGGAAAAGTGATAGGCGGTACCTTAGTGCCTGAGGCGCCAGAGACCTGAACTCATGATCCACATGTGGCGAAATAAGCAGGAGTAACATCCTCTTTAACGAACTATAGATCGTAGCGGACAGTTGACAAGGATGTCTGGGTAGGTTCATCCTTGACGCTGCTTCACATCAACTACATCTGGTTACTGTAACGCTTACCGAAGCGAGTTCGGCACAGTCGAAACGCAGCTCCCGCATGTTGTAGTCCGCAGCGCCCTCGATCCGAGCCTGTCAGATAGCAAGGGTCCTATATCACAGCCATTGTCCCCGTACTTTGAAGTTGCCACCGATGTGGAGGACAGTGGACGCTGACGTGACCTACCTTTTTGAATCAAGGACTCGGACTCGCATTGAACAAGGCGCTCCAAGAATATCAGCAGTAGGGACAAATGAAACAGCGCACAGAGCATCAAAGAAGTAGCATTGTTATGTCGTCTGCATCTAGCAACATGGATTCTCCTTTACCAAAATCAATCCTTCTCGCTGATGGCCTGTAGCCGCTCGTCAATCTCGTCTTCCGTCAAGGCACGGAACGAAGGGTCTGTTCCCTCCTTGCCGTCTGCTCGAGGACCACCAACGATACCAATCTCCAATTCGTGCTTCTTGAAGTCGACGCTCAACACGTTGCTCAAGGCCGTGATACCGAGCTCGACCACCTCCTCCCAACTACCCTCAGCATAATCCTTGTTCTTCAGTTTCTTCTCCAAGTAATTGAGCGCCTCCTGCTGCTTGGGACCGGATGCAGTGGCCTTGTACCCGACATAGTATCCTGCAGGATCGCACTTGTAAAGTTGTGGGCCTTTCTCGTCGTCAACGGAAATCAGAGTCATGGCAACGCCTAGCGGACGCATGTAAGCCTGAAGATGTTTTGTTAGCCTGCGACTTGACAATCACCGAAAAAAAGCCACGGAAAGACCAACCCTTTGTGTGTACACTTGGTTGATGTTGGCAAGTCTTTTTGCAAGGACGTCGCAAGGCATTTCGTAGCCATATTTGTATCGGAATTCAGCTGCCTCTCCGCGGGCACGGTCGACAGAAGCTCTGGCATCAGCAATAGAACCAGTCATGACACAACCGACGGAGGGAGAAAGCCGAAAGATGTGCGAAACGGACGACGGGTCAATCAGTTTATCCTTTGATGGTTCGATTAGATTGCCGCAATATCCTGCCAAGTGGATGAAATGACCTACAGCGACTTTCTTCTGAGACAATACCACGGCGCAGTTCTTCCCCCTCACACCGATTGAGGTAATATTTGCAGCTGTGATAGCCTTGAAGGCATATTCTAATTTCAATAATCAGCGTTGTTTAGCCGAGCGATGATGGCATTTGCGGCATTGCCCACGACGAGGGCCGGGACCGCAGACTGAAAACTGGCGTGCCATCGAAAAATGTACATACCGACTTGGTACAGACGACCCTGGTCTGAGAAAATGGTAATGTGTCTGTCATATCCAGCGCTCCCTATTCGGAAGACGATGTCAGCTCTGATGAAGTCATGGAGGTCGACTCAGATGGAGAAGCCAAGGAGCTTTACCAGACATGATTGCGGTGTGCGATATTATTCCTCAGTAAAAGAAACTAGAAAACAATGAGATATATGACTCTAAAGAGGTAGAGATCAGGATTGAAAGGAAGACGGATTGGAGGATGAAGGACAGTGAGTCTCCAATGTACGCGTGCTTGAAGGTGCCTGGCTGAAGCTCCAAGCTTCTGAGCCCGATTGAGTAAGCTCCGCTGTCACCGCCTTCACATATCCTACAGCAACAGTCTCACATAGACTTGGTATCTCTGTTGATACTCCGTATATGCTTGCGCTTACGTTTCGATTGACTGAATCCAATAATATTTCACTCTTTAGGATTCCTAGGCTTGAAAACTCAAGTCTTAGATACACGTTCTGAGAGATAACCACCTAAACTGCAAGAACTCCGTACAACCCAGCCAAGTACCAGCTTTTGACTATACGCAATACATACGGCAATGCTATACATGAGATACTCCATATTGTAAAGTTCTATAAGGGGTAAATGTGACGCCTGAACTGTATATGCTGATCAACCGAGCCGCGGAAGACATCCACAAAATGAGGAGGGTCAGAGCCCTTGGATGTATACTTTCAGTCGCTGTCACTGTCACTGCTAGAGTCTGCCGATGAGCCGCTGGAACTTTCATTTGAGCTGGCTTGCTTCTTCCTCGCAGCTTTCTTTTTGTGGCTGCCGTTGTCATCACTATCGCTGCTCGAATCGGTCGATGAGCTTTCACTAGAGCTGTCTTTCTTCGGCTTTGCGGCCTTTTTGGCCTTCTTCTCGCTGTCGCTGTCGCTGTCACTGGAACTCTCGCTTTCACTGCTGCTCGAAATTTCCACGAAAGCGGTCCGGTTCTTCTTCTTCTTTTTCGCAGGCGGAGCCTGGGTGCTCGGTCCCCGCTTCGCTTTCGTTTTCTCGAGGTAGAACAACTTTCCGCTGACAGCAAACAGCACGAGCTCCGCTCGCTGCCGTCTCTGAAGCTTCGCCAGTTGTTCTCCGTCCAGTGAATCAGGTGTCTCAATCTCGTCAAAATCGTCTTTGCCTTGCGACAAGCGTGTTCTAAAAGCCTCCACGGCCTTGTTGTAGCCTGTCGTATCAGACTCGGCCTTGTCCTCCGTCTCCGCTTCTTGCTCTTTTGCCAGATCCTCTTCCATTTCAGCTTTCACAACCTCCTCAGCAACCTGGCGTAGCCGTTGCCTGGCACCCTCGCTTTTCAATCCCTTGAGGTAAGAAAGAAGAGCGGCGTTGTAGCTCGCAGGAACATGTTCCAAAGACAGGATGTGTTTGAATAGATGCGTCTCGCGGTTCTTCTGGAATTTCCAAGCGGATCGGTTCTGGTGGTATAGATTGAGATACGAAAGAATAGGAGACTCGTGAGACGTCGGTGTAGTATCCGAAGCAGTCGTAACAGAACGATCCTTCTTCTTTTTCTTCTTCTCCTTCTTCTTCTTTTTTTTCTCGCCCTCGTCATCCGCGTCAACCTGTTCCTCCGTAGCAGGGGGAGCCTGACCCTCTTCGGCATCCCCATTACTTTTCAAATCATCCTTAACTTCCGGTCGACTCTCGCTCTCGCTCTCCTCAGCGTCCCGCATCACCGTATCCGCCGAAAAAGACACCCTTTTCTTCTTGCGCCGCTGCTGAGACTCAGACTCCGGCTCGGCGACCCCTTTCTCCCCCCCGTCATTCTCCTCCTCAAGCCGTCTCTTCTTGCTCTTCTTCTCTTTCTGCTTCTGCTTCTTTTCGCCAGCGTCGGCCGTCACTGCGGCGTCCTCGGTGCCCTGCCCATTGCTGGACTTGCTCTTTTTCTTCTTGTCTTTGGTTTTTTTGTCCTTCTTATCAACCTCCTTGTCCTCACTGTCTTCTACTGCAGGCGTATCCTTCGCGTGCTTGAGCTTGCGGCCTGTCTTTTTCGACGCGGAAACATGCGACGGCTGCGCCGATTCCTCGCTCGACATGGGGACCGTAAGCGGTGTTCCCGGAGACGTCAGGTGGGATTGGAGAATTGAGTATATTGCACGCTTGGTTAGAGATATTTCAAATGCAAGAAGAGTAAATTAGACAGATATTAGTCCTTGGTGAAAGGTATATCGATCTTGGTGAATTCATGAAGCTCTGGAAAATTTTCCACGTGAGTTGCGGAGTCTGCAACATAGCGTCCGCTTATCAGTACCGAGCCACCGATAAGCGATTGGCCTTGGAGAACGATGTTTCGAGTATTCTGTACCAGAAATATGAGTGATATTTACATATTCGTTCAATAGGTCAACATAATGTTAAAGTTCTATAACGTCGGGAAACCGTATATTCATCTCGCGTTATCATGCAGGCCCATTTTCCAGACTCCAACGAATGTCCGACTCCCAACATTTAAACCCATGTGCGTAAAATGCTCGAATAGAAATCATGGCCCGGTTCCACTTCCATTACCGCTATGCTCGGCTCCCGAGGTATCCTTCCTTTCCCTTCTGGCTTCCTTTTGGGATCCGGCCTCGCCGTTGCCTCCAGGCGCGATAGATGCTGCAGTCTTTCGCCTTGCCCGCTCCTTGTCCTTGGTGCTGGTTGTTGCCGTCCTCCTTCTCCGGACTGGTTCGTAGACATCGTTGAAGTTCATGACGACTCCAAGGAAGCGCATGTCGACATCGGGTTGGTAGGCTAGATCGCCCAGTAGCACATTCAGCCTGGAGCGGAACTCTGCAGAGAGCTCGCGCAGACGTGTGCGAAGGGATGCCAGCATGTGGTCGTCAGCAGAAAGCTCTTGGCCGGCGAGAGATCCCGGGGTATCGAACCCGTCGCCATCGACTCCGACAGTTGGAGTTTGGGCAATCGAGGGGGGGAATGATGGTATTGAGATCTTATGTCCTTGTGGATGCCGGGAAGATAGGAGATCGCGCTCAGTAATACCCCAGCGTCCCTGAGCAGTGCGCGTTTCTATTTTAGCACTTAGCTCTTGTCTTCGGGTAAACTCTGCCACGGAAAATGAATAGAGTCCATCAACGGCATCTTTGTACGCCAGCATGATCTTCAATATTTGATGGAGCTGGGTCAAGAAGCCCTCTTCTTGTTTGTGGCCAGATGCGGTGCGGGATGAGGATGTCGAGCCCAACAGACCCTTGTGCGTGATAGAGTTGAGATATTTGGTATGTGCTTCAATTAAATCATCAAGCGTACACCCTGGTTTGGAGATGTCTGCCTGCAATTGATCCCAACTGGCCTCGATGACCTCAAAGAGGATGTAGTACTGGAGCTGGCAAACAAAATGAATCATTTCCGCGATGACGCACCTCGCCCGTTTCCAGTCAGCTCCGACTTTGTCGCTGACGCTTCCTAAGACTCCGCGAGCGCCGGTCATACACCGCCGCCAAGTGCTGCCCAGGGCAAATTCGACGCGCTTAACTCGCCATAGGAAATTAAACACTTTCAGATATTGAGTCGAGCCCCAGGGCGTGATAACAACGTCAACAGGCGCATCTATCTTGTATTCGAGAGTAAAGCAGTCCCATCCTATCTCGCCGTGACTGAGTTCCAACATACGGGCATCCAGACGGCGGAGAACGTCGGGCGGATCGTATTGCGCGTTGGAAGCACGAATGGCATGCTCCAGCTGCGCGGTGAGAGTATGCCTATATTGTGAATTGGCAGGCCGATCGAGGTTCGATGCCAAGGATTCCATAAGCAAGGCGATGAAGTCGCCCTGGCCCAGTAGCAGATACTTCTTGAGCGCATGCAAGTGGTCGAACAGCTTGAACTTTTCGTCCATGAGGTGGATGAGTCGCGCCATAGTGGTTTTGTAGGCTTCATCGATCGATGCCTCGAGGCTAGCCGTATCACCGTAGTGCAACTCTTTGGACGCTTCTTTAGAGTAGGCCTCAACCCATCCAGAGTCCCCGCATCCGTATCTGATGAAGTTCAAAGATTTGCCGATAAGAAAGACTTTCTTCGCAAAGTCCTGCGTGATGATTGACGGTACCATCTCGTCATCCAGTTTATACTTGTCTTCCCAGACACTGGTCGCAAGCCGTCGTGGGTCCGTGTTGGGTCTGAATTCCGGTTCCACGACAAAAAATTCCTGGTACGGATCTGAAAGCTCACCATCATAGATCCACAGTCGCAGCATATCGTAAAACGGGCGTGTAACGTGTGAGAGCAGTTTCTCCGCAAAGCTGTTAACAAAAGGGTCTCCATGAGACGTTGAGAAACTATGAATCAATGATATCAATTGACCACCTTTTTTGTCTGAAATGCCGTTAGCTCGATGGAAAAGAATGCAGTCGAGGAAAGGAAAAGCACACTTACTGCGAGCCTCCTCAACTATCAAACTCATCAACCGTAACGCCATTGTCGCATCTCTTGTCCATACTACACAACGCTTCAACGTTACCAACCCTTTGGACGATTCCTTCGACTGATAGGGGTCTCCGCTAGCGGCCAGCGCCCGTCGAATCTCCCCTTCCAAGGTTGCTACAAGACCCAGGTAGGAACGGAGCTCGTTTGAAAGAGCAGCCCGCAAGCTCTGGGTGAGCAAGCCACCTCCAGAATCCTCCACATATTTTGACAGACCTTTATATAGCAGACACGGCTCCGCCAAGGTGTTCAAAAGAGACAAGACGGGTATGGGGAGAGTCGGCGGTAGTTTTAGAACGGTAGATGACGAGAAGTCCAAATTGGAAGACGACAATCCTTGCAAGTTGTAGGGTAAATCACGTAAAAGTCCGCTCTCATGAGGCCGCTTTTCGAAGTTATCTGAAAAGGACTGGGTTTGAAACGATGCCTTCTGATCGTCCACGGGGCGGTTCTCTCTAGGCGCAGCATCGTGTGCGCCGCGAGCCATTCGACCTCCTTTAACCCTGTCAGCTGTGGCATGTCCGTGCTCCTGGTCGACATCCTTTTCCCTTTCCCACTCCTGCCGCCGCATGGAGGCCTTCCGGTCCATCTTGGCTGGAATCTGCGAAGCAGAGGAACTGACAGCCGGGCTATCCTCGTCCGAGTCCCCCTCCAATCTCGGCCCCAGGCCATGTCGTACTCTCTGATGGCCACCCTTCAACATCATATTCTGCAGATTCCCCGCATCCATAAGCGGACTCCGACTTCTCCCATTCTCATCCGCAACCTCAACCTGGAGATCCGAGCCCGACAGCCGATACAGCAAGTACAGGATCGCCCATTTCTGCGACAGAACCGGCTGCGTCAGCAAGCGCGAATACAAGTTCGAAAACCGCACAGCTTTATCCGGGCTCGCATTCTCCCGGAGGAGCTTCCGCTTGATAAGGTCCGACGCGTTATTGATGTTCTCCCCTCCTGCTAAACTGCCTCTGCGACTGATGCCCAGGCCCGCGCCGTCAGCTGGCGAGGCATGATCATTTCCGGAGCTGGCGTATGTGTCGATGATGCGCCATGCACGCTCGAGGTTCTCCTGGTGTCGGCGTTCTTCTGCTTCGGCAAGCAGCTCATCTGCGTCTTCGGAGACGGTATCGCCGATCTCTGAGAGGGAAATAGGTGGAGTTAGGGAATCGACAAGTTGAGAAAGGGCATCTTCGATGCGACGCGGGCGCGCGGGCTGCTGCGAAGACATTGTCCGGGCCGCCGTTCGCGGATATGCCTTTTAAAATACCGCCTGTCCTCAATTGCTGGCCTTTCTCGAGGACTTCTATCTTTCAATGTCGCGTTGCTCGAGTCAACCGTATGTGACGCGGATGAAGGAAAACGCGAAGGTGGGGAGTTTGTTGATCAGTGTGTCGACGTCAAAAGGAGTTTCCGAAGTGCCGCAGTGCATCCTGGGGATTGAGTTGAGAAAGCTATCCGATAGATTATCTCATCCACTTGGACTGACAGCTTCAATACCCATAGCAAAAGGGCTCGTGAAGGCTGGGATGTTTGTGTTTGTCTTGACCGAGCTGTATCAATTCGCGCACGCCAAGACCGGCAGACGTCAGTAAGGTACGGAGTTCTTGGTTAGCTGCCTAATGGATTCATCGCAGGATAAACGATCACTACTACTTCTTGCAGATAATCCGCGACACAATTTATGCTTCTTGAAGGATTATACACCGGCGACGATGATCCAATTTACAAACTGAAAGCTATATGAACCTGAATCGCGTTTCATTCACAATGCCTAAGACACCATACGCGAAAGAAATCATCAAGACACCAGAAACAAACCTGAGCCGCCAACGCCGCCCATATTAAACTGAAAACAACGGCTGAAAACACCAGTGCCCCCATGAACATAAAAACAAGTAAAAATAGTCCCCGGTAAAGAGCAAGAAAAGGAAGGCCAGAGTACAGAGATACTACACTGTCCGAGCCTGGAGAGTCACAAATGCAACCCGAGGCTTGGAGTTGATGAAAGAAGGATTCGACATAAGACAGACAGGAGAAAGAAACGAATCAAACCGCCAAAAATCTTTTGCGCCCAAACTGCACCTTCCGAGAGTGCAATCAAAGTCCATCGCACCAGCTGGATTTTCCCGTCAATTTTGGAGTTCGTACACATCATAAACACCGGCCCATGCCATAGGTCCGCGGGAAAGTCGCAGCCGAGAAATCGAAATGTAAGAGCCCGCGTAGGGGCGAAAAAGTTGAAGTGAGAAACACCGTATCTCCGTCTAGACCCAAGCGGCCTGTACACTGTCGAGCAGAGATCGAATTTTAGATGTCATAATCATGATCAGGCGTCAATTAAAGATCATGAGCGGGTGAAATCACATTATCATCGTCGCATACCCTGAGTAGGGATAGGTGCACCTGGCTGCATCCCCATGTTGTTTGCGATGTTGTACGGATGAGGGTCGAAGCCTGTCGACATTCCATTCATCATGAGAGAACCTAGTCCCTGAGCTTGAGAAACGGGACAGTCCTTGTGAGCAAGCAACAGGGTCTTAAGGTTGACAATTTCCTCGCGAAGTTGCGTAACAGTGGCGGTAAGCGCGTCATTCTCCGTAGTAAATAGCTCGACCTTCGCCTGAAGATTGGCAAGCCACTGTTTCTTGCGCTGACGACATTTCAGAGCCGCGACCCTAGTCAGATTGTATTAGTATCAAATCAGAATTACCTTGGGAGTCATGCAACAGTCACGGGCGTACCTGTTCCTCTCCAAGAAATTTCTCCTCTTCTCTTCGTCCGTCATCTTCTTCGTGTCGGTCTGAGATTTCTTCTTCATGTCATCCTCATCCTCGGAGTCGCCAGCTTCGGACGGAGGCTCGGCGCTGCCAGAGCTAATGCTTGTCTTGGCCTTCTTGTTCGGACCCTTGGCGGGTGTATCGTCTGCTTTGCGTCTATTGTTGGCTGTATTCCCTGATTTCGTGGCAGTATTCTTCTTTCCTTTCCCTTTGGCGGAAGGCTTTGCCTGTTCTGCCTGCATATCAGATGCATCACCGCTCATCTCTCTACTACTGGCTACGGAGCCATTGACATTTTGAGATCCACGCCTGTCTGCGTCACGCGATTGATTGTTACCCTGAATAGTATGAGGTGGGACAGACGATTGGTTGGAGACGAATTGATTGGCCTGTCCGCCCTTGGCCAACATGAACAACCCGTTGGCCGCATCTGCAGCATCGTGATGCGTGAAGGGGTCCACGCTGGCAGGCTGACTGCTCTTGATATCCATGCTCACACTGTGAACTCCCTCAGAATCGGCTGTGGGATTGGAAGTAGGACCACTCAAGCCGTTCTTTTTGGCAGCGTTCAATGCAGTACGATGGAATTCAATTGTGGAGGGAGTCGCGCCGCCGCTCTGTAGTTGCTGCAGAATCGCCTGGGAGTTCGGACTCGGCGCAGGGAACATAGAACCCCCACCACCTGGAGTGAGACCGGTGCGAAGAGAAGATTCGTTGGGAGTTGGGAAACCTCGGCCAATGCTGTCGAAATAATCATTACCACCAGCTGGTCCAGCAAGCATGGCAGGACTCAACGGCCCAGAGCGCAAAGAATTGGACCAATTATAGCCACCCGTGGAACTGGTGCCAGGCAAAGCAGGTGATGTGAGCGCTGCTACAGGGGGTAGTAACGACTTTCCTGGAGTTTCGCTCTGGGAACCACCCCCAAATGATTGTTCGAAAGGATTGGGCTCCAGAGAGAAGGGATTGTGAACTGAGTTGAAGTAGTCCGGAGTATCTGTGGCAGTAGTTACAGCAGGTCGCGGGGGAGGTGCCAACGAGGTTTGCGAGTCGACATCAGGCTTCTGGTCCTTAGTGTCGGAAGGCGCCTTGGAGTCTGGGATGCGCAATTAGAACCCAAGTCAGTAAAGGTACAACAAGGTTGGAGTAACGATGATGCGACAACAAGGTGATATGATCAAACGTGTTTTGCGTGTTGTAAAGGGTGTTTTCTTTGCAACGCGTGACTGACAGGGTCGGAATCTGATAAGGAAAATCCCCTCCATCGATGACGCCAAGTGTGAGGTCATCCCGACGGCAGGGTACAGATCGCAGTATCTGGGGAAGAAGTGGCGTACTGCCAGACCAAAACGGTCACTTCAGGAAGGAGGGGAAGACCAGAGGATAGACAGAGAAGGTTTCGTGTGAAAGGTACCGAGATTCATATCCATGACGCACAAGAAAACAGGTATACTACTCACCTCCAATGTCCAACGCGTTCTTCTTTGAATCCATTGGCGACGAATTACGAGTGTTTGTACTATGCGGTAAATTTGCGGGCACAGACGAAGCGACAGCAGCAGACATCATAGACCCGGAGGAGGAAACAATATATTAGGCGAGTGCAGGGCAACCGCGAGAGTGACCAAGGTAGAGGTAGTAATAGTAGGGGAAGGGAAAAGGACGGGAAACAACCGAGTGGACTTGGTGGCGAGAACGCAGAACAAATTTGCGATCAACCAGATAGAAAAGAAGATCAAATAGAATAGTGGAATAAGAGAAGAATCCTTGAGAGTAAGAAAAAGATAATGTTGATAATTTGCTTTGTCGTTGTTCTGGTCTCTGCTTCTTCTCGTCTTTTTCCCTGGTGCTGTACTATACGTACACCCAAGGCAAAGCGCACGTACTTAGTGTGTAGTGACTTTTCGAGGTGTCAAGGGGAGAAGAAGAGTTGTGACGTAGTCCGGTTCAACAAGGAGTATTTTATTTTAGGGGGGTGGAAGAAAAGAATGGAAGAAGAGGGGAGGCGGTCGAGGGTGGTGAGCTAAGCGTTTCGACTAGTCAGCATCCGACTAGTGTGCTATCAGGTTGACAGAAACATGCAACCCTGGATGAGTACAAAAACTTGTGGTTGTCCTTCCAGGTTGCAACCTCGAATCGATTTATGTTATCCCAGCAATCTCTTCTTCTTCTTTCTGCTTATTGTTCTTCAAGCTTCAATATTATTATTTCTTTCCTTGTTTCAATATGTGATCTCTCTGATTCTCCCGTTTTTATCTGCTACTTATGGAGAGATGGAAATTCAACAAAATGGCAGGGAAAATCAAAAAATAAAAAATAAAAAATGAAAAATGAAAAAGAAAAAGAAAATACTAAAAGTTCCAAGACCAGAGGGGGAACGAATAACAAGAAAATCAAATCTGAATAGTAATGGTAGCAGCCAAAAATCAATCGCCCTTACCTGTGGTGTTGTGGGCTCCCCGGCAATATCTCTCGACCAATATGAATGACGAAATCCCATCGGAACCACACCAGACACGGTGGTTGGACAACAGGGGAATTTGATAACCAAACTGCATCTAATTTTTCTTGTTCTTTTTTTTCGCTGTTTGGTTGAGTAATCTGGAGAAAGGTAAAAGAATGCTTGCCTGTTATCCAGGGATAAAAATGACTCGAAAAGAGTGAAATCAAAGAGCCAGACCCAGCACACGAGAGCCCAGAAGCAGCATCGAAGGAAAATTATGGGGGCAGAAGAGGAGATGGGGCAGGGAAAACTTGGATGAGATCACGGTGACGACGACAGGAATTTTCCTTTGGGGTATGTCGGACCAGCCGGGTGGCCACTGGGCGACAGGTGGGCCCACATGGGCTGGCAGTCGGCCACTCATGGGCCAGTCTCCCGGCCCCACCTGGATTTTTGCAACCTGGACTTCAAAGTACCTTTCTACATACAACATTTTAGTGTGTACACTCCCGTAGTCACCACGAAAGTGACACCACGATCTTGTAGGATTCAGATCCTGAAATCTGAGTACTGATGACAGATGTCTATCAGAGGAGGATACTAAAAGTATGCGCATGTCTCAGTGGAGAAAGTTCTTAGTAGGGCTCCATTCAATGCGATCCCATTGAAAAGATGATCCAGAGATAGCCTGATAGGTGTGAATTTGTGAAACCAGCCAACCGAGACCCGGGCGGAAAGAATCCTTCAATACCTAATTGGGTCTCGACTCTCATCCTCTATTCCTCTGCGCTCCTGATTGGATCGCAGCAATGACGCAATGACCGAGGCCGCTCCCATTGTGGGTTTTACTCACGTGATTATAAGATGCTGATCTTCTGGTTGGACGGCAGAGTCAAATCTGCCGGGTCGCCAGTTGCCACTCGGATTCCGTCTCGCCAACCGGCACACGGACTAATTTCTCAATTGAGCCAACCCCATATGCACTAGCACTAGTGCTATCAGGTAGGT